TCGCCCCCAAGACGACTCGATTGGGAAGCGAACATCATTTCCCCTTGTGGTAATTCCCACGCCAGGCTGGACCAATCACCTCTAGGCTTGGTGCTTCCAGCCTTGCCATGCCTCGAGGTGATGGCAGATTGCTCGTTGGGTGTTTTTCCTCCTCGGACTGAAGACAAACATATCTACGTGCTCGGCAGTCTGGTGTTTAGCTCAATATCGGTCGCCATGGGGAGAGATATGTCGCACGCCAGGGGGAGAGTTGAAAGCAGGAAGGTGTCGAGGTGGTGAATGAACGGCTTGAGTTCTTCCTCACTAACGCATAACAGCTATTTGACAGGTATTGCTCTGTGAGAACGCCGCACAAGCTGATTTATCGACGGTAAGAAATTCGTGCTTGCAATCTCAATGGACATGTTAACCGTGCATTCAAGCGTCAAAGGCGCGCGGAACGAATTCCAAGCTGTCATACCTCACAACAAGGCGAGGTCGGAATGGCTCCTACAGATGCGAAAACCCCTCCAACTGTACTGTATTTCTGACAATTAATCTCGTTTTCATCTTCAAGCTGCAGCCGCAAATCTTGGACACAATGTGAGTGATAGGCGCATAGTTTTGCAAAGTATGAGATGAGTCGGAGGGAGGATGATGAAGAGGCAAATACTCGTTGATGGACGAATTTCGGTCAGAGTCCCTCGGACTCGGCACTGGGAAATGGCAAATTGCGAAAACGCGTTGAAAGTGGGTTTGAGGCGACGCGTTTATTGGCTGGGCATGGATCTTCCTTTCTCCGCTCGAGCCACGTGACAGACGAGTTGGAGGAGCTCGGTTGGTCGCAAAAATGCGATCAAAAAGCCCTGCAACTGGCCGCCTGGAAAATTTCCACCCGAAGCCTTGTCCATGTCCCCAGAATAAAACGAGTGCGCCTCCATGCTTGAGCTACAGTCCTCTGTCCCTGGATCTCGCCCCTTCCACTGATCTTGCTAGGTGTCATGCAGGGCTCGATGTTGGAGAAGCTGGCATCGGGCGTGGGATCACTGCCAGTCAATTGGAGAAGCGGCTTTGGAGGGGGAGGCAGAAGACGGAATCGCACTGGCTAAGCATTGCCCTGGGTGGCCCGCCTTTTCGCCCATGACCAGCCACTCACACGCGGTTGCCCACTCAAGGGATCCGTTTCGCTGTTGGTCGGCCATTCGGTGCAAGCACACCAGACTCCAGAGCGCAGGGTGCAGGGTGGAAGTGCGCAGGCGCAAGTGTGTGCAGTCACCGCCGCAGTCTCGCCAGACCCAGCAGTGCAAAGAGGGTCGCAGCAACTGCTTGACTGCGTTCACACTTCTGACAAGAGCACACACAACGTCGTCTCCTCCTCTCTTCACTCTCCTGCAGAATCCCTGATCCCCAGCAGGGTGAATATGCTGCTTCCAATGCTGGCTCTCTGCTGCTTCTGTTGTCTGTCTCTGTGACCCTCTTCTCCCTTTGCCAGCAGCCGCTTCTCCTCAGTGAGAAACACGATCAATTTGTAACAACCCACCCACGGCGCGAACTCTGCCTTTCCACCACCGCTCTTCTTCTAGCCCTCGTACGGCGTCTCCTGCATTCCCTGACTGGCCATGACACTTACAAGCTACCATAGAAAAGTTGTCCCTGCCACAAGTTGAAAACCAAAGAAAAAAAAAATGAGTCCCCGACGCTCATCCCGTGCTCGCTCCTCGCAGCAACCCCCTCTCGGTCCTAACCACACAAACTCCAACGCTTCAATCACCTCCAAGTCGGATCGAGACACTCGAGCCAGCAATCGTGCAAACTCTCCTCGAAGGCCCTCCACGCAACGATCCGAATCTGCTGATGGCGCAGACTTATCCTCTCGCACCGAGCAGGTCGCACCGCGTCGCAGTCGCCGCAACGGAGAGGACAAAGAACCAACCGTCAAACAACAGGTCAACGATGAGGAAAATGACATAGACCCTGCTGACGAGGAAATTACTCGCTGTATCTGTGGACAGGCCGAGTACCCTGGACCTTCGCCTGCCCTGCGACAGCAGCAAACAATCCCCGACGCCCTGGCCGACGACACGGGCAATTTCTTCGTCCAATGCGACAACTGCAGTGTCTGGCAACACGGCGGCTGTATGGGTCTGCTTGATGAGTCCATGCTACCGGATGAATACTACTGTGAACAGTGCAAGCCAGAATACCACAAGATCACCAAGTCAGCAAATGGGTGAGCTGGCCCCTATCAAACTCCTATACTTCCAGGCGTATACAATGACCCGTCACTGAAAGGATCTCCCGCTTTTTCTCGTTATTTGTTTGTGGTGACTGCGTGTGGCCACCTTGTTTGTCGAATCTGTCCATAAAGACGACTGACACATTACATCCACCAGGCCAAAATCTTCTCGGTATCTCCCCGTTCTGGAGGCTAGCTCCAGTCGATCCTCTCCCTTGTCCTCAAATCCTGAGATGGGCCGCAGGAAGGAAAATAAGAACAAACAGTCCGAGAGCACCAAAAGAAGAGCCACCTTCAACAGCCGGGGCGCCTACGACGAAGACGAGATGTTGAGGCGAGCGATTGAGGAGAGCAAAGAGATGGGCACCCTAGGCAAACGCACAAGAGACGAATCAGAAGAGTAGGTCATTCTTTGACAGAGAGGGTTCCACCTTACTGATATCTGGACAGGCACAAAGGTACCACCAAGCGACAGCGTACCGGATCCAACTCCTCAGAGACAGTCTCGAAGCGCAGTGAATCACCCGAAGCAGGGGTTGATGACCCGCCTAGTAGATCGACCACCAACGGGCGAGCTACGTCGCAAAAATTGAGGGGAGCTGCTGCTCGAAACAACCGCGAGAAGGAGCTTCGAGAAAAGGCAAAAGAACAGCAGGCAGCTCAACGTGCGGAGGCTGCGAGTAAACGCAATGCTCGGTCAGAACGGAGAAGGGCAGATGGTGAGCCACATCCGCTTCCAGTAATGAAGATATTGACTAGTGAGCCAGATTCGCCTCCTCCCACCCCGAGTCTCTCTCCGTCAAAGGGAGGACAAGCCAATGGCAAAGCAAAAGCAGACACGCCCCCCTCGGGTCGATCGAATCATAACAATAACCGCAAGCCCGGCGGCAGAGCGCCTGCAAGGCGAGGAAGACTAGGGAGAAATCAATATACGCGTGACCAGGCAAACGGAGAAGACGGGGACAATACACCTTTGCGGGATGCATCTCACGACATCAACGGCCACGATAACAAAAACGGGGACTCACCTCCTACTGCCGACCGAAAAGGAAGTGCAGGCGGGGCTGGTGCCATCCACTGCATCAACGGCGAAAGTGGACGCAGTTCAAAAGCCAAGACGCATCCAGCGAGGACAAGTCTCAACGAAATGAAAAGACGGGTGGCCGCGATTTTGGAATTTGTTGGACGCATGCAGACGGAGCGGACTACGCAGGTCCAAGCCGCAATACAGGTCAGCAGTGGCAGCGGAGGAAGTTCCAAGGGGTCAAATACGCCAAACGGCGTGAGCAAGACGTCAAGCACCTCGAGCACGACCGGGAGCAATTTAGCTACGGCGAGTCTCGTGCGCGCTGTCGAGGCTGGGCTGAAAGATGTGAAGGAGAAGGACGATGACAATGTGGTGTCGATGATGGATGAGAGGGAGTTTGCGACGATGGGGAGTGTGGATATGATGGAGACGCTGACGAGGGAGTTGGTGCAGTGGCAGAGCGTGTATGGGGTATATTCGCGGTGAGGGTGGTAATAATGCTCAGTCGGAGACTAGATGGAAAGGTGCGTTGGGTTAATTCGCGCGCTCCTGTGGGCATGACGACGACGACAATGATGATGGGTGGGCTTGTGTTTTATGTTTAGCGGATTGCACCAACGAGGAGTCTTGGATGGCATTAACATGATGGTCGTCTAAGTCTGGCTGAACGTGAGGTTTGACGACACGGGAAAAGTTTATATTTGGGAGTTGTGTTGTGCTGGATCCTTAGATACCATCTGATGTTTGACGCCTGATGTTTAATGGTAAAAGAAAAGAGAGTCTTTGGTGCATTTCAGAAGATTACTGCACGGGTGTGCAACAGGGCAAGTCAGGCTTGGAAAAATGTTGTGATGGCTTCGCGGTCAAAAGGCTCAGGCGTTCCTGAAATGACGTCGTTTTCCGTCGTGTACCTGGAATGGATGGCGCATCCCACTCACTCATTGAATGCGGAATCCAGGCCGTGGTGGCGTCCCCACTACGAGGTATGATTCGCCCAATCAAACTTCTCTCATGGGCCAGCCTTGATTACTCAGCTTGACTGAGCTCGAGGACTCGCCACCCAACTGCAGCCTTGCCGCCTTTGTCTGATCCCCACTGCCACTGGGCTTACGACATGGCAGCTGGCCGGCTTACGCTGGCTTCGGCCGAATGGGAATCAGCCATATCCTGTTGTCTTCTCCGCATAGTCTACCGAGTCCACTCGTCCTGATTCCCGTGGACTTGGCTTGCTTGCTTGGGTAATACTCGCGTACTTGGACGTCGTAAAAATCTGGTGGTGCATCGGAGTCTGTTGGTTATCTGTTCCTGTGTATGTAGTACTGTCAGGGATACACACTACACCTTTTGGACACTTCCTCGCTCCGTTTCCTCCCTCCCTACCTCCCTCCCTCCCTCTTGCATGCAAGCACACACACGCACGCGCACACACGCAAGAGCAACGAAGCTGTTCTGCAGTGGCTCACTCTATCCATCATCCATCATCATCACCATCACCACATCAGCCATAATCCACCATCCACCATCCACCATCCACCATCCATCATCCATCATCCATCATCCATCATTCATCATCCATCATCCACTATCCATCGCCTCGCCTCGCCTCGTCTCAACTCAGGTTGGCCGGTTTCGTCCATCCGCCCATTCATTTGCCGGCGCCGGTGCAAACGAGGACACCGCGGGCGAATAATTGCAGATTTCTGCTCCTCCCATCTAACTTGATTAGGGCCAGTGGATCGAACGGGAGCGGAAGAGATCATGGTCGACCATCACGATCAAGGACATGGCCGCCACCACCAGCAGCACCAGCAGCACCAGCAGCAGCAACAAGATGCCGAAACAGGGAAGGCCGACACCAATCATGACCACAACCACAACCATAGCCACAACAAAACCCGTGGACCGCGAAAACCCTACGTCCGATTAGTCACCGACAAGCGACGGGAGCAGAACCGCCGCGCGCAAAAGGCTTATAGGGAGAGGCTGAAGAAGAAGCTCGAGGTTTTGGAAGAGCAGGCTTCTTCTACTCTATCCCACTCCACCCACAGCCATCACCCCAGAAAGTCCGGCCATGAGCTTGACGCGGACTTGGACACCGACATCCGTGTCGAGGATGACGACCATGGCCATGTCGACTCTCGCGCCCTACCCTCTTCCAAGCCAGCGTATACACCCGCTGCCGCTTTTGGCCCGCGGCCGTGGGTTATAAACCTGGCGGAAGCGTTTGTCGCTGCCGGGGACTTGCCCCTCGGACAGGGTTCATTCCCTGGCATCCAGTTGCAACTAGGCCCACAGACGCCGGCGACAGAACCCGAGGTCGAAGAAGTCATCGATCATGTCCACGACGATTATGGTGACATCGACCTGCGGCAGATCTGGCCAATGCCGCACACGCATGTCCTTTCCCAAAAGTCACGCCAGCATGCTCCCAACCCCCAGCGCGGTTCTACATCTCTCATGACCTTGACGCCTCAACGGACACCGACTGGCTTGCAATGGTTTAGTCCGAAGTCCGCCCAGGCAGACCCATACATGAACCATCTGCACCTTATCGGCGAAGGCAATGTGGAAGCCTCTCTCGCCGTCGCTCTTTCAATCGGCATCAGCCGCAGTCAGTACTTGAATGACCACCCGTCACATTTCCCCGGTTGCTACGTCGCACTCAACAAACCCGACCCGCGCTCCTCCACGAATTCGTCCGCGCCCCTAACCGTAAACTACAAGTTCGCACATACCTTCATGGATGTCACACCGCAGCTGCAAGAGCATCTCGACGCAGTGAAGCCGCCCATGCGACCAACGCCCGCGCAGCTCCTGAACCCACATCCAAGTTACCTCGACTGCATTGTGTTCCCCTATTTCCGTGACCATGCGGTCCAAGCATCCGTCGACGGCATTCTCGATCATGCAGAGCTGTTTATGGACCTGATGCACGGTGGTTTAGTCTGCTGGGGCGGTATGTCGGGACTTACCAACAAGCACGGAAAGTCGGCGAAGAGTGGGAAAAGAGACATGGCCGAAAGCGTGGCCTGGAACACGAGAAGTTGGGAGGCCAAAAAATGGTTTCTGAAAAAATGGACTTGGTTGGTCGGCACCGAAGAAGAGGAGGAAGCGAGAGGTGATGTCGATGGCATATGGAGGGGGAGTCGGTGGTGGTGGGCCATGCGGGGCGAGGATGACACCGACGAAGAGGGGCAGGAAATGGACTCTGCGGGTGCCCGAGTGAGCGAGATTGACGCTGGCAGCCATTGTTTGTGAGGCCTGTGACTTGCTTCGCTAACCACATCACCAGGTGGGTAGCGGTTCTTGCCGTTCGAGTGCCTGTTACTCGTATTCACCAGGGCGGGACCTCAACCATTCAGGCACGAAGACACTGTCATCGAGGGTTTAATCCCCACCGTCGTGGAATGCTCTCCCCGTGCCAGCAATGCACTTACGTTCGTTGCAGCTGAATAGCGCGCAAGATGCAACAGATCTCCAGCGGCTAGGACACAGAAGGGCTTGATTCGATAAGTTTCCAGCTAAGAGACAGTGCAGGTCACCATGACCTCGTGGAGGGACGTTCTAAGATGATTGACGCTGAGTCGGCACGTCCAAATCATTGCTGTCGGCCCGAGCAGGAACAGATTCTCAGCAGAGCCTTGTGACCATTCAAGCTTTGGATCTTGGCAGCACGCTACCAAAACCTTTTTGATTGTGTTTCCGGTATGAATTGGATTCGGATACCCAATGAAGAGATACATGAGATGTGGAGGTGAAGTGCTTGCCGCCTCCAGACCGTCAGCGACATATTGTCTCGCTTCCGAGGGACTAGCTGCTGCGTCGATTTCAAACGGCGCCCTCCCTGGTCCGGATCTTTTTCCGGGAACGAATCGCGAGCAACAGCAGCTCGTATCCGTCTGGACACGGTGTAACTATCTTCCAGAGTTGAGAGTCGCAAGGGACGATTTCGGTAACATCCCGCGGCTCCTCCTCCAACTCGTAGGATGCTGTGTGAAAGAGGCATCTCTGCATGTCAGACAGCCCAGTCAAAAGAGCGATATTGTAAAAAAGTAATGATTGTGGGTAAAGCGAGTCCCTTGGCGGTGAGGTTGTAACGCACCAATCTGAAACTGGAGTCGCGAGGTGAAAGAGAACACTAATGCGACCAGAAAGTTTGCCCTGCCCGACAATGTGTACTTGCCAGAGGATTGGCAGAGTGACTTCTTCGACCATGCCGCCCCACGCTGCTGGTTGGTTGCCCATGGGAAACAGTAACCTCGTGATAAACTCTGGTGGCTGCAGGTGGCATCGCACAAAACCATGCCCATTCGGTCATTGTCGAGCTTGTACTCAGTTCTACCTGTGCTTTGGTTTGACGCACCGAACGGTGCTTGGCTTGCTTACATCCAGAAACTGGCAGCCGTCTTATCTCGAAACGACACCCCCGCACAGCGCCTGTAATAATATGATCTCAACAAAGACCTGTTTCATCTTAACTCAAACGAGTAAAGTTCGAGAATGTTCGTCTGAGCAAAAGACGCTGATGGACGGTGGAGCTGGATGATGGCAATTCCTTCCGGTGCCTGAAAGAATGCAGAGTACCTTCAGACAGTGTTCTTTGCTCACCCAGGAACGCATGAGGTCGGCGGGTATTTTCCACAGGAGGGGGACCCTAAAGTTCCAGCCGCCTCAGGCGCATGCATGCCCTTGGATCTATCTGGAAAAGCGTCCCCTGACGATCTTGGGCTTCAAGCCTCATCCGTCATCATTCATGTCTCAAGTCCAGGGAGTGATGATCGTAGCCTTACAAGGAAGGAGGAACAGAAGACCACAGGCTGCGTCGCAAAGTGTCCTTTGGAGTCCCATGCCGGCAGTGGGTGAAGAGTTGAATCCGTCATGAGTCGGAAGGGAGACGTACGACCGTGCGCATTTCAGCAGAGGGAGGAAGCGAACGGACGAGGATAGAGTGATGGAGACTCCAGGTCCAAAGCAATTGTACCTTTGGTATGTACAAGGTCTGTAGGAGAGGAGGAAGAGAAGACCAGTGATGCTGGGAGGCAATGTTCATGGCGTGGTGAGAGTGCGGTGAGTGTGCCCCAATGCCTTTGTAGTGACAGCCGTTCGGTCGTCATTCAACGAGAAAAGATCGCCGGGCTCTTTCGGGGTGCAGGGATGGATTGTGCTGGCTCTCCGCTGTGAGGACGCAATTGGGAAGCCAGTGATGATGGCTTTCTCCTGACTTTCCCCTAAGTACATACGGTAACCCGCTGCTGATAACATCAGTGGCCCTCGTCAACGCTGCTCCAACCCGGCTTAGCGGGATGATTGATGGTGCAGTTCCCCGGCCCCGTGAAGTCAATTTAGCCACCCGGAACGCATCCTTCGACCCAAAGATCCAGTAGCCTGAGACGCCTAAGTGACCGACCTACGTTCCGGCTCAAGGATGTTCCTGGCGACCTCGTGGCTGGCACAACCTGAGCATGGGCTTTGCGGGCGTGGGTGTGGTCACCGCCAGGATCCCCAAATTCGAGGGCATCCACTGTGGTGCTCAGCTGTGACGAGGAATCCTCTCCAAATCAGAATCCCATTTGTTACTAACAGGTGACATTTTTGTCTTTTTGGCCAGACAGACGCCCTCTACCTCATACTAGATCAAACCTACCAAGCATTTGGGCCTGGAACAAGAAGGGACCACGAAATCGAGCTCGTGTCCGCACAGGTCAGCGTCGCCCGTCTCAATGCTGATCTTGCCCTCGTCCGTGGGACCGAAGCCAGGCTAACATCCCAGAAACTTCAAGACCCTCAGTTCTCATTGCAACACCGGCGGGAAAGGACACCAGGCCAAAAAGAACTGCTGTGTGTAGTACCTGCCCCCCTTCCACTTCCCCCTGTCAACGGCGGCCGCGAAACGGATTATGTAAATGGAAAGCGGTCCACCCGTGTGAACAACAAAAACATCGTCACCTCCACGACATCCAACGAACGTCATTGCCACCATTGTCACCACATCTACATTGCTTCGTGGGTTCGGTGAGGTAAAACCCCCTCGACCACCCATCCTCCTCATCACCCTGTCCCTACAGCGAGCCAGGCCCGAGTCAATCCGTCACTCGCCTATGAACCAAGCTAGTCGCCCACACTGAACGCCTCAGTCCCTCCTCCATCACTTTCGCCAGAGGTCTGGAGGTCTCACGCAGGGTGTGTCGCAGGCAGAAGGATTTGCAGAGGGAGCAAGTTAGGGGATCAACATCGGCAAGCAAGACACGATTTTCCAGCAACAAAACCAGCCGGATCGGCAACTAGATCACGTAGCGAACCGCTTTCCCCCTTCAAGTACCAGATCCCACACAAACCGTTAAAACCAGCCATACCGAATTTCCTTCTGCACGACTCACACTGCTGTTTGACCTCCCACGACACTGGTGCCGAGGAGCGGATTTTTCTTGAGCTTGTCCGACGGTTCTTTTGCTTAGGTGGCTCACCAACCCATTCGGAATTTACTCCTCAGTGGTGCCAAAAAAAAAGGGAAGAACCAGAGTTTGAAATGTAGTCGAGACACTTTTCGACCCAAAGGCAATTTTTCAAAACTCGGACTTGTCAGTGTCGCAATAACTGTGTGAGTGGTGGCAGGTCGCAGAGTAAGAATGAGTCTGCAGCCCAGGTACGTTTTCAATTCGCCCGACTTCCTGGTCTGAATATCGAGCCTTGAGTGCCCCTCCTTTTCGCCGGGAAGAGTCGATCCCTCTAACTGAGTTTCTTCGTGGCCATAGGCGAGAATATCACATTGTTGTGCTTGGTGCTGGTATGTTCGGACCATCCCCCTTTTTTTTTCCAGCTTGGGTATTTTCTCTAGCTGCCAAAGTCTCAGACTGACAAGGCGGTCTCGTGCTCAAAACAGGAGGGGTAGGTAAAAGCTGTCTCACGGCCCAATTCGTGCAAAATGTCTGGATCGAAAGCTATGACCCGACCATCGAGGACTCGTATCGAAAGCAGGTCAACGTCGACGGCCGACAGATCATGTTGGAAATGTAAGGATCCGGGTCTGCCTTTTCAACCTTTTCATCCCATTTCCCATCGCCTACATCAAAGGCAAGAAGACCGTGCAATGATCTCTAAGACCTCGTTCAGATAGTACCCATGCTAATCAGCCGTGTGAACCTTTCTCCAGCCTCGACACGGCCGGCACCGAACAATTCACAGCAATGCGCGAGCTTTACATGAAACAAGGCCAGGGCTTTCTCCTTGTCTTCTCCATTTGCAACATGAACTCGTTCTACGAACTAGCCGAACTGCGCGAGCAAATTGTCCGGATCAAAGACGACGAGGACATCCCTCTCGTCGTGGTGGGGAACAAGTCCGACATGGAAGACGACCGCGTCGTGCCCCGGGCACGAGCATTTCAACTCGCTCAGTCATGGGGGCAGAAGCCCTACTACGAGACGAGCGCGAGGCGGAGGACCAATGTCGACGAGGTGTTTCTGAACCTCTGCGCGCAGATCATTCAGAAAGAAGGGGCGCGAAATCTCATGGCCGAGCAGCAGGCGGCTGCGAGGAGGAGGGAAAGGCCCAACCGGCATGATCGCAGGGGCCGGAGGCAGCGGAATCGGGACAAGTGCGTTATTCTGTGAGAGAAAAGACAATCGAGAGACGGTAGACTTGTTGAATTTCCAAAAGAGTCAGCACTACAGAAAGCATCTCTGGAACATGGAACGAGATGTGCCATGACGCATTTCGGGATTTTCCACCAACGGCTTTTTTTGAAGCATGCTAGACAAAAAGAATGGGGCTTGTCTAAAAAAAGTACGAAAGAGAAAGAGAGGGGGAGGGCGAAGGGGGGGAAAAAATAGAAAGAGTTGATTCTCTAGACTTACCCGACTCAGGTCGAAATGTTGTCCAACCACCATATTTGTCTCATTTCGTTTCCATTAATCACCGAATCTCTGTACTCATTGCCCGCGTTGCAGTTTTCCTAGATATGTCTGTCCGTCTCTTCGTATTAACTTGAGCACAACCCCACGCGTGCCCTCCACGGCCAAGTAGATTGGCCGAATCTCATCCAGTGGACATGGATGGATGGGGAGACGGGGACCACCCGTAAATCTACATCCTAAAGACGCCAAATCTCGTCTGCTTGTCATCAGACTTGCCACCCAGGGCGACCTTCAAGCCCATGGCCAAAACACTCCTAGTCTGCGCGGGATGAATGACCCCGTCATCCCACAGCCTCGCGCTGGAGAAGCAAGCATCACTCTCGCGTTCAATGCGATCCCGCAAGC